CAGTGTCCTGTTCAACGTTTTCATCAAGATAAAGACTGAAGCTATGTAGTGGTACATTTTTACTTTTTTACTCTATAAATTGAACTATTCAAAAAAGCTTTCACTGAGGACTACACAGTCAGTAGATTACAGAGGCGGTTGCAGAGGCTGGTAAAATATACTAAGCCATGCACGTTGCTATAGAAGAAAATTCTAACGGGCAGCACTTTCTAACACCAGTTTGTAACTCCATATAATGCAATTACACCACAGGCATTAATGGTTTTAATTGAACCAATTATGTTCTAAGAGGTAAAAGACTAAAAATACATACTAAATTATACAAAGTCTTTAGCCTAAATAACACTTGGGAGTTAACAAAATACTTGTGGGAAAATACATCACAGATGGTCAAACAATGTAGCGCAGTGATATCCTCTGCAAACACTATCACTTTGAGGGTTTTTTTCTGTTTGTTTAAGTAGATTCTTGTTTCAAGCTCTGAACAGTGTGTGTTTCGGTCAAGGCTGAATGGTTCACTATATATACACTGAAAGGATTGCCCCCACTTCCCCAAAAAAATACCCCCTGCCCAACTCAGTGTCAAATTCAGGAATTCAGAGAAAGGAAAACTTACAGATTCCTGGTTTTCCCCACAAGCACCGTTTGCAACATGACCATCATGACAAAAAACTGAGAAGGCAATGTGACCAGAAGTCTGTTTCTTCTTGCTAGGCACTCATTTAACTATAGTATTCCATACTCTATGCTAAGGATTTAACTAGGTCCTACCACCACATTTATAGACCACACTTACTTAAAGAACCACCTTGTTCCCATCAAAGCACCTATTCAATGTTTTTCAAGGCTTTATTAAAAAAAAAAAATTCAACTGTCTAAAGTAGGAAGTTATACTTTGAGAGGTTAAAGGAGACAGTCCTTGAAACCAAAAGGAAAATTTTCAGAGCTTGAGGCAACATCATAATTCCTTTCATCAAGAATCAGGCAATTCTCAAAGTGAATCAGTGTAACTGATGTAAGCAAAGCCTGTTTATCCTTCAGCATCCCCTCTCCCCCAAAAAAAGTAAGGAAAAATAAAAGAATGTGGAAGGATCTTAGTATTGGGCATACTGCCACTGTCACCCTCCTGGGGGTGAAGAGGCAAAGCACAGAGTAGATGTGAGCTCCAGCAATAGAGACCTGCACGTGCTCAAGGAACAGGTGAGCAAGAACAAACTCTAAGGCCTCTGCAGAAAACTTGCTTCTTGCTCCTGCTCTTTCTTCTGCTGCCTGTGGCACACAGGCAAAGTCTGAGAGCTGGGTTTCTTCAGACTAGAGATGAAAAAGCTAACTTGGGGAAGAGACATGGGTTGCTGATGTCCATGTACAGTATTAAACTATCTAAAGGGACAGGTTGGGGGGGGGGGGCGGAGTGCCCAGAGCAAAGAACGAGCCAGACTATCCTCCAAGGTACACAGGAAGAAACCACCAGAGGCAATGGACAAAGTTGCAGCAAGGGCAGCTACAGTATTAAGAAAGAAATTCTCACGAGGGTAGCCAAACACAAGGAAAGGCTGCCCAAAAGGGCTGTGAAAGCACATTTTCAGAGATTCAGCACAACCCAACAAGGTCCTGTGCAACCCAATCCAACAGCAAAAATGGCCCTGCTCTGAATGTGAGAATAAACCACCATAATCAAGTTAACTGTGCATCCTACAACAATCATGCATAAACAGATATAAAATTTTCCACTAGCAATAATCTGGCTATGCTGATATGGTGTTATGGATAAAACAGCAGACAGACTCAATCCCAAAGGGTGAGTCAACAATTTGCTGATATCACCATCAAGAGTAGACCCCAAATCTTTTACTTCCCCTCCCTTCTGTAGAACCTACTGTTACTAAGCAAGACAAAGGACTATTTTTATATGGTTTTGCACAAGGCATAAAGATCTCTACAGACAAATGTTTAAAAAGCTTTGTTTCTCAAGCATCCTTAATCCTGTCAAAATCACCAATTGTTATTTCTCTAGGCAATACATAGTACAATGGCTGTAAACTACAAAATTCCCATCAGTCCTTAATTATTTTGTTTAAGTAAAGACAACATCATTGCAAACTTTAAGAATAAATTTAGACTACTACAATAAAAGTACCCGCACACATTGTATTTGATCAAGTCTGTTTCACCTCTGTTCTTCCCCAAAGCTTCCTACTCCAAAGCAAATAAATCACTTTTGGTGCTACAGGGTGCGAGGCACAACAGCTGCCTCCTATCTCCTTCGTCAGGAATAACTCAACCTTCTGAACCAAGAGACTACCTGTATCTTTGTTGTTTAAACTATTCAAGTGGTAAAAAATGCCACTGGATGGGGGTATCAGGAGCAAAGGTAGACAATGCCAGCCAGTAGTATGAGAAAGAATAATGAACAGGTTATTACTCATGCAGCAGTTGAGTGGTATCATTTCTATCCAGTTTTCCTACTCCACAATAGTAAAGTAATTGCTAATACCAAATATATACTAAGAATTAGTCCTCCTGCCCTATCTGTGGTGAGGATATGGCAAGCAATTGACAGCTGATCAGCAGCACATACTTCTGTTTGCTTCATCACAGCCTTTCCCACACTATGTGTGGGATACATCTGATCCATTGGGTTACTTAACCAACATTTAAGTCACCATCTAAAATAACTGATACCATTCTTGAGGCATAAGAACTTACTGCCAGTAGAATTTAAGATCAATATGTGCAACTTCACTTTGTATATATGCTTGAAGCTTCAAAGGTAAATACATTTAAATGCATTTCTGGTTCTTCAGGTTTATTTTTCTTTACACCTTTACTTTTGGGATTTGTTATGCAAGTGCCATATCATTATACAAATGTATTAATTCACACAGTATTTAACTTGAAGACTGTGTTCAGTTCTAACCCCCCTCTCAAAAGGGGCCAGAAAAGATACACAACACACAGCAAAGGATCAGACATGTGGACCACCTTCACATAACAACCAGTTAAGCCCGTCAGAATCCTTCAACCTGGAACAAAGATCACATAGCTCAGGATTTCATGGACACAGTGAACAGTTGTGCAGGGCTGTTTACCACCTCCCCCAGTAAACATACTGGAGGCTTAGAACACCCCCAAGAACTGGTTCTTCACACAAGCAGCAATTAGGCTGCCAAACCCCTTTCTCTGAAGCACTTTTGATGCAAGAGCTCTAGGTAAAAATGCACCTGGAGCATTAAATATAGACTGAATCACAATTCACAGAAGCTGGGATGAGCACTGCATGAGGATACCAACAGGCATTTCCCTGTGTTACTACCACCCACAGCATGAAAGACAGAACAGGCTTGTTTGGGATTGGAATATGACACTGGGTTTATCAAAAGTTGTCACAACAGTCTAAATTTATTCTTTTGAACTATTTAACAGTATACTTGTTTCCACAATAATTGTATAATAAGTGACCAGTTTGAGGTCCAGAAGCCAGGAAGGGACAAGACACAAAGAGGACCATCTGAAGTTCTGTGCTTGAGATGGATGAACCTGAGAAGTACACAAAAGTTATGAGAGCCCACTGTGTTCAGCACAGCCATACTACCCTCAGAAATAGAGACACGGTCAACCACACTGTGCCCATTTAGATAGCAGGCAAGTCTGGGAGGCCCAAATGGTTTAATGAACGGTTTTATTAAGTGACAGATCTACCCACTCACTACTTCCAACATCCTGGCTTTCCACTGAGAGAATCGGGTGTTGTACAGCACTGTGTACATTCCTAGAAGCTTACCAGGAATCACTGTTTAAAGCACTGTTATTCTATCATTAAGAGATTACCATTTGAGAAAATGCTCTGTAAATCAGCCTAACAATTTACTCAATCCTTAAACCCGTTTTACAAGATCTAGCTTTACCACTAGTCTCTGCCAGAGCCCAACAGGACACCTGGTAATGCTAAGCCAAAAGCAACATGTGCAATATAGTAAAGCAAAAAAAGCCAAATACTTTAAAAAGAAAAAAATAAAATTCCCTCTTACTTCCCCCCCCCATACATACTTTTCCAGACTTCTCACATATTGGTCTATACTACAAATTTGATTATCAGAGGACCGCTAGTGAAATGCAACGTATAAAGTTGCATCATAAAAACTGCCAATTCCTATTTTCAAACAGGCAGTGGGGTTTTAGCAGTCTTTCAAGGCCGGCAGTCTGACTGTGCAGGATGCAGGTCACCTCTGCTCGAGCCGCTGCTGGCAGGCTCTCTCCTAGGCCTGCCGCCCGTCCCAGCCACAGAGTTGGTGTCGCAGCTCCCGGCGAGAGGGGGAGGAAAAAAAGAAAAAAAAAAAAAAAAAAAAAAAAAAAAAACAAAACCGGGATATTCGGACTGGCACCCTGAAATCAACCTAACGCAAAGTCTGCTACTTTATCGACTGAAGGTCTGACAAACAGCTGAGCTAGGGATTCAGGGATACCTCAAAAAACGCACCTAATGGAAAATTCTCCAGAAAGAGGAGATTTAGGAACAGTTTATTTACAGGTTACCACAGGGGGACTGATAAACATTTCTATGAGCGGCAGCCGCTGGGCTAAGCGCCCTCACAAGCTGCCCGCGGCGCACCTGCCCGCGCTCCAAGGGCCAGGTTCGCCTGCGAACCAGCCGCCCACCCCCCCCGCGGCAGCGAAGCGATGTCCCTTTTGAGGCGGGTCCAAAGGGGACAACGCGCCGGAGAGCCCGTGGGGGACGGGGCGGCCTCCCACAGCGCCGGCGGAGAGGCCCGCGGCGGAGGCCTCCTCCCCGCGGCAGCGCGCCGTACGCGGCTCGGGAGGCCCCGGCGGCGGCTCCGCCCGCGGTGGAGACGCCGCCGTCGGAAGGGCCGGCGCGAAACTCCCCGGGTCCCGGGCCCGTCCCCTCCGCCGCCGCCGGGGCGGGAAGCGGAGCCGCCCCGGCGCTGGCTGAGGGACAGCCCCCGCCGCGACGGGGAGGGGAGAGGAGGGAGGGGGAGGGGACACCGCCCGCCCCGCCGCTCCCCCCGCCCGCCCCGGCGCCCCCAGAGGCAGGCAGGCGGCCGCCGCCGGCTCGCCCGCCGCCCCCTCGCCCTGCCGAGGCGACGTTCCCCTCCTCCGCGGCGCAGCCCCAGGCCGCCGGCAGGCGGGCGGGCCGGGGCGGGGCGGTACCTGCGCCTGAAGTCCGTCTCGAAGGGGATCAGGTAGGGGTCCCGCTTCAGCAGCTGCGCCAGCTTCGGCGGCTGCGGGGGCTGCGTACTGGCGGCGGCCGCCATCTTGCCCGCCGCGGGAGCCGCGCCGCGCCGCGCCGCTGCTATATACACCCAGGGAGGGGGGCCGGGGCGGGCGGGCGAGGCGCCCCCTGCGTCTCACCGCCCGGCGCCGCCCACCGGCCGGGGCAGCCCGCCGGGGCCGGGAGGCGGCCGCCTCCGCCGCCCCTCCCCGCCCGCCGTGCCAGCTGCCTGGCCTGTGCAGCGCTACCCCCTTCTCCCTTCCCACCCCCCCCCCCCCGCACCCGGTGCGGCGGTGTCAGGGCCCGGGGCGCCTCGGGGCCTCCTGTGGGAGCCGGGGGGAGGGGGCGTTGGCGGGGGGGGGGGGGGGGTGCTCCTGTCCCGCCCTGGGCGCGGACAAGCGAGGGGTTCGCTTTCACAGCCCCGACTGCCTATCTGCGGTGGGGTGGGGGGGGGGGAGTGTGAAAACAGCCGTTCTCCCCAAAACCGTGCGGAGTGTCGGGGCGGGCGCGCTGGCGGAGCCACCCCTGAGGCGAGGGAGAGCGGCGGCCCGAAATGCCGCTGCTGAGGGGCCGGGAGGGGGGGCGGGCAGTGCTCCGGCGCTAAAGGAAACTTAAAAAGCGGCTGTGGGAGCCGAGCTCTCCGGCAGGGCAGGGGGGGGCAGAGCCGGCAGGAGGGGGTGTCTGCCGTCGCGGCGGTCCCCACTTTGTTTTCTCAGTGTCTCTTTGATGTCCTTTTCAGCGTGTCTGCTGCCGGGTGAGCTCCGCGTTCCCCCCCCCACACACACACAAAAAAAAAAAAAAAACAAACACACCAACACCCACCCCCCCTCCCCAAACAGATTTGGTGGCATCGTGAGTGCTGGAATAAATTTCTCGACTCTTTGATAGGGTGCTGGCGTGCTCACAGACAAGCTCAGCAAAACAAGACTCCGGGGGCATCCATGAGTTCTCATAAACACCGTGTCTGTACAGCAAAATGTCACTGCACCGGACACATAAAGAATCCTAAACAAAGTAAGATTAATTCAGCTGATCCTAATGCAGCTCTAAATGCTGAATAGCACAGGTAGATTGCTGTGGAAGTTTTTGACCTAATATCAGCATGTCTCGTTTTTGGATAGGCCACCAAATATCCAAGGCAACTAATCACTAGCCTGACCATGCCTTTAGGCCAGCATTTAGCACTTTTATTTAAGGTCCAGCAATTTTGCTTTGTTTAGACATGTAGTGAGAACATTTATTTGGAGGCCTCTTTTGAATGCTTTTCAGCCACGGTTTATAAACTTTTCAGCTCCTAGATACCTCCCATCCTTTTCACAACCATCTCCTAAATTGTTATCCTGTTTGTAACTCATCTCCCCTATCTTGGCTTCTGATGAATTTTAGTGCTGCTTCCCCTTCCTGTCTGCCACATAACTAACAGCACAGCACGTAATGAACACTGGCAATTCATTTATTACTTTGCTCAAAATACGCTACAGTGAAAGTTCCCATAATGATTCGTTTCAGCGACAGTGTATGTTTAACTGCACTATATTTCCTTCCTTGCAGCGGTTTCTAACTACTCATAAAAAAATCTTTTGTCCTTTTTTCCTTATGGAGTGCAGCAAGTATTCTCTAGCCTGAGAATGAGTAGGAAATACTAATTGCTGTAGAAGTTGCACCACCAGAAACCTAAGCAGTTTTTGTTTGTTTTTTTTTTTTTTTTGAAAGAAGCAGCATATATGCTGTAGCAGAGCTGCCTATCATATCCAGCTCTGCTAGATCGGGATTTATTTTTTTCCCGTGTCCGCCATTTCTTCAGTCTCAAGCGGAGACAGTAAAAATGTTTTTTTTTTTTAAATTCCCTGTGCTTCTCAAAACTTTCTGCATGGCTGTGATTCCAGCGCCCATGCTAAACCAGAGTTTAACAACTCTTATCATCTTCTCATTCTTGATTCTTGCATCATACCATGTGCATCATGTTCCTTTGTGAATGTGCCACTCTCTTTCTCACAGTTAACTTGTTTGGCAAACTAAAAGAAGAGAAGTTCCAGCTGAGTATCAAGAACCAGGAGATTATTTTTCCACCAGTTACGTGTTACCTGTGCTGCTGCTTTGGGGCTTCCAGGTGTTTGGTGCTGGAGGGGTCACCTGTTGTTGGAAGTGGAGGTAGGAGGGCAATTCCTGCAGCCTTTTGAATTCACAAGTGTAGGAAACAGGAGCTTCACTCTTAGCACAGTCTCTTTGGTTTTCTTCATTGTCAGGAAGCTCAAGCAAGTTCACAGCACCATTATTACCTGTTTGGCATAAACACAAGAGAGATATTTATAAATCAGTGTTAGCATTTTGTATAAACAGTAGGAATATAGCTGTGACTTTTGGCTCTCTGAAGACAGGGACCCCTTCTTAACCTTACTTTGGAAGATTTTAAGTAGAAATGACACAGTATTCAGCCTTATATCCAAGCAACCTTGAACTTCAGGAAGTTAAATTCTGCAAATGGCCCCTGTCCCTAAAATAGACAAAGCCCAAATGCTATATTTAACACTGTGAACTGAGAAATTGGTAACCATAACATTTGTATCTACTTACGTTCCAGTTTACAACTTGGGCATGATTTTATCTGCCTGCTTTGTCACAAGTAACTCAAGCATACTAAGGCATGTATTTTTGTGATCATCTATTACATCTAGCTGAGACTCAAAGGCCAAGGTTAGCTCTCAGGACACTGCCATTGAGTCCTCTACCTGGAGGCAAAAATGGCAGTTCAAACAATGAATATTGTCCCAACAGCTGAATGTGTCTGTGTGCATTTGTTGGAGATTGATACAAAGCTGGCAGCTGCTGTTGCCAGTAGAAATAGAAGAGGACTGTTTGCAATAACTGCGCTTTTGGGGGGACAGCAGTGGATCATATAGGAGTGCTGTCTAAGGCATGTGTCTGGCACCCAGTTACCACTGAGGCTGGAGTGTATCAATCCACTCTAAACTAGTCTTTCAAAGGATGCTCATGCTTAAGTTATATATGCTTTGAAATGTTTCGTAGCAATGCTGAGCAATAACTGTATAATTACTATAACATCAATTTAGATTTTTTTAAATATGCAAAGTTCAAACAGAAATCAAAGTTCTGGATTAAAGAACATTCAAGATTCACTAGTATTTTACCCTTATTTTGAAAAAGGTGACAGAGATGCTAAACTGTAGAAACTGGGTTAAGAAAAAAATCTTTTTTCATTAAGTCACTGGTTCAGATTCTCATCAATAGTGTCTGTTCATATCTCAGCCAGAACAGATCTGTGTGGTCTCTGGCCTTGACTGGTTCTTGCGGAGCCAGTTCCTGAGCTCCAAGTGCTAAACCAAGTGTCTCAGAGCAGATCTGGTCCCTGGTCCTGGACTGACTCCGTAAGATGCTTCCAGACCTGTCAGAGTCATCTTTGGGGTACAGGATTCTGCACTACAACTGTTGTGCACTACCTCTGACTTCTAGACTGCCCAGTCCCACAGCTATGGCACAGATAGATAACTCATACAAGAGTTAACAGCGTGGTTCCTGCCACACCAGTTCTCAGATTTCCCAGAGCAGGAGTGTGGTGAGGGATTGCTGGTGTTACCTTCTAGCCTGCAGGGAGAGAAAGAGGGAAATGGCCAAGGATAATGTGTACCCAGTTTTTATTCCAGTATAGAAATAAATGGGGCACTGAAAACAGCCATACCTGGACGCTACAGTGTGGTCCTAAATACCACAAAGGATTCATTAGCCATTTCATCAGCTTGTGCTCTGTTTTAGCTGTGGGCCATCTATAGACTGCTAGTTTAATCCATCTGAGAAGAGATGACAGGTACGAAGGACAGCAAGATATTTTTTAACTCTGCTGTTGGGAACATTTGAAGAATTACTGATCTCTCAAAGGGACAAGTCACAAGGCATGTTCTTTGTATGTTTAAATTAAATACTTAAAAGCTATATCCAGGATGTGTCATCATTTCAGTCTGGGCAGAACTCCTCCCAGTTCCTTTCACTGAAAGCCTTTTTATATCTAGGTGTAGCTGGCCTACTTTGCTTGTTTGCGTGTGAGGAGATATATGCTTTTTTTTTTTTTTTTTGCATTGCACCTTTTGATGTCTTAAAGATAGTAGTCCACCTAAAGAAAGTAGTCCATGACCAAGAACTGAGAAACACAGGAACACGAGCTCTGCCCTGTGCCTGTACTAGATACCACAGTGGGCATTATCAAGAAAAGGTGTTCCCATGGACAGAGGCAGCTTTTCAAAAAGGTTTGTGTTCCGTTATTCCAGAAGAATGGATTCTTAAAGGACTTCCTGTGTCCTTCGTAGATGTATCAGACGTCTGAGCATGTTACAGTACACATTGCAGCTTCCTACCTATGGGCTGGTTTCTGCGCGTTCAGTACGTAACACAAAATGGAGTTCAAAATTTGAAAGAAAACTAGCTTACTTTGCCACATTGGCCAGCCGTACTTACTCTTATCATTTGTTCAAGAACCATAAGAAATTAGTTGCACAGTTGCCGTCCAGAACCAATACCAGTGCCCCCCTTAAAAATATCATTTATCTTGGTAGTCTTATCAGACAGATTAAACATTGGGAATGGAGATTAAACAAGCCACTTCTCCCTATTATCTGGTTCTCCAGGGTGAGACACATAGGAGAAAAGAAATGGTCAGTGTTGCACAGATGCTGCCAATGCTAGACCTCAACAGCATGTCACAGTCCCATAATTTAAACTGTACTTCTAGAAGGGATTCAACTGTTTGGTTATGTACAAAGAACAAAGCACATATCCTTGAAAATTGCAGCAAACATTCCAAGAATCCATAGCATATCCATTAATTAGTGTGCAGGTTTGAGGGGGTTCATTGTTGATTTTGCGTTTGAGTTTTTAAGAAATGTAGGGTATTCATCGAAACTATCTTTTAAGGTCTTACTTCTCCCTGTCATGGTATCAGGAGCTTTAAATAACAACACATCTTTAAAGATCAAAACCAACGTGCAATCTGAAATACTAAAAAGCAAGTTTCAGGGTTTTCAAATTCCCTTAAGCTCAGTTAATGGGAATGCCATTTGCACTTACCGTGAAGAGCAAAGTGAAAACACGTTCCAACAACCTCAAAGTCCTAGATAATGGCTGCTTCTTGCTTTCACAATACTGCAGTATTATTATGATTTGGTGTCCTTGTTTTCTATAACAGAGTATCAGAAAATGTAAATACCTTTCATTGTTTACACAGTAATCAAGACACTTCAAAGTGTGATACCAATTAAAAACTATCAGCAGATGTAGAACAGTATTTGTTGTGAAAATGACTGAGTCTCACTAAAAAAATGATTTAACAGAAAGTCTCTAGTTTCAAGTAAGAATTTGTGAAACACTTCACAGATACAAAACACAGAAAAATTTTTTGGACGTTGTATATACTCTGTTGTATTTATGCCTTTTATATGTATTTCTCAAAAGTAATTCCTGCCAATAGTAACAACCTTCTACAACTGACAATATTGCTATTTCCTGGTAGTTACGTATGTGTTTATGTGTTGGGGTAAAACCATAAAACATTTGGGACTCTTTGCTTAATGCCATACCCGCAATATTGGGTATCTGTCACCTCTGTCCTACCAGTGTGTGTTTATCTCTAACACATAGGAAATAAGTAGCTTGAGCTCCCCAGGATAGTTATCCCAGAGGAACATTCCTGCTAACATTGCAGCGGGCTTCTGTAACAACATATTGCTATTAAACAAGCAACTTATTAGTGCTAACCAAATACTGTATGGTTTATATCCAATACACCTCGAATTTAGAATGAAACAACACAGCTTCAGCAGCAATTTTATTTTCTTCTTGTTCATTCCCAGGTTTTTCCTAAAATCCCTGAGAACTAATCCTACCTAGGAGGATCTCTTGAAGGTTGGTTGCATGGTCTCACATTCCTCTCTGAAACGCTACAGGCATTTAGGCTGTCTGGCCTTTTACTCAGAAAAGAAAGTAAGATTGCCAGATACTCATTCAGAAGGTAACATCTAATCCCAGAGTGGGTCAAGTGAGGTGAAAACAAGGGAGGAGATGCATATTGCTAATGCTCTGACAGCTTTGTCAATATAAATTCATTAGTATGTGTAGAATTATTTTAGTTTTCTAAAAGCAGAATAGTACCTAAGTTGCATTCATGAATTTAAGTGTGTACTGAGTTCACTACAGTAAATGCAGATGAATCCAGTGCAAATTGTGTGTGAAGTGCAGAACTTCAGAAGTCCACAAGGCTTTCTGCAGACAGGGTCTTAGATCTTGGCAGTATTAGTTGTGGTTTAGTTTTTAATGGCAGTCAGTGGCAGTTGACGGAACCAGTTCTCAGGTGTGACCAGTAGTGTTTTGAATTAACGGAAGGATGGGACAGGGACAGGTTCCTCAGTGCTACATTCAAAGTCTTGCTACGGGCAAAAGACAATACCATGTATGAAACTAAGAATTTACTGTTAGTCCAATAAATGTTTTAACAGTATAATTGTCCAGATTATCTGTTTGATATGGAAGAAAGAAACCACCCTCATTAATCATGCAATTTAACTTGTTATACAGAAAACTTTCTATCACATATGCATTTTCTCTCCAGTGTGCCTCTGGGTTCTAAGGTTGACAGTTTAAGCCTTAGGCAGATGGAGGCATATGTGCTGTAACAAGGCATTGGCCTCCCGAGGTCTTTGCCACACACAGCCTGGTGTTCATGAGAGGGGTTGGTGTCTCCCTCCTCAATTTTGAGGTTCCCAGCTGAAGTCTGACAGCAGCACAACAGCCTCTCCCAGATGCAGGTGATGTTAAGGATGCTGTTGGTCATGCAGGGACTACCCAGGGAGGTCAAATCCTTTCCCCCAGCGGCACTCACAGACGCAAGTTCACATGGGTTTAGCAATAGTCTTTCAGGCACTAGGCAAGCAATGACAATGTACCACATGTAGTAGGCTAAAATTTCCATTTTTGATCAATAGTCTGCTAAACACAGGCTAATCGTTACATGAGTCTGGCAGAGATCTTGCAAACTCTCCTATGACTCAAGGTTCTTAACAGAACTGAGTGATGGCTCTTGAAACCGATCTTTTTTTTTCCTGTATACTCTTTTGTGATGAAAGCACTTAAGGGTCTGAGGCTATAATAATGTATAGCTATTGAACAATTACCGAAGCTAGTATAACAACTAAAATTACAACTGTAGGGTGTAAAGCTAAGTTCAGGTTTGTGTAGGTGTCAGAGACCAGTCTTACTTTTAAGGTAATGAAGTAATTTGTATCTTTACGTTGCAAGCATGCCTATCACTGGACAGGTTACACAGTATGAGATAGTTCACAGTGATTTCTGGATGTATATGAACACAACTGAATCCTACACAGATAATGGCACAATAACTGAAGCAATTTCATAATCACATCTTGGTGAAATTCTGATCTAAGCAATTGTCAAAACACTAAAAACTGATATCCTTACATATGTAATGCATGTCTTGAGCTGCTGTTTTTCTGGAATCTAGCTGAACATCTATCATGTTCAGTAATCCATCTTCATAAATGCACATCTTTCATCTCAGAAATGCTATAGCTATAGATCTCCAAAGTTGCCTGATTATCTCTGGTTGAATAATCATGCAAGGTTGTGTATTGTAAACATGAGTAACGTTTTGATACCCTATCAGCTTTGGGACCCCTGATTTTCACCATTTTCTACATGTCTAAAAATATCCCCTGTACAGTAACCAAAGGTGCAGTCTTTACAATCCTGACGACAGAAGTACTGTTACAGGTATGCAATCCATTGCCATAGGTGATTGTACTGTATACAATACAATTTTCCATAGGAAATATTTTTATACCTCAGTGATTCACCTTTTCTTCTACCAGCACTCAAAATTCTTTATTTTATAAATACAGAAAGTTTCATCCAAGACAACCACATCCACACACACACACATTTTTGCTGGGAACATAGCTACTCATAGATTAGCAAGAAGCACATTTGTCTTCACACAGAGAAACAGGTTTTGTCTTGCTTGGGTATGAACCTTTTAGGTTGGATCCTTTGTCTCGTATTACCTAGGTTCATATTTTGCTTTTCTTTTTAAACTCAGCCATGGCATTTGAGTTAAAAGTAGTATGTCTCTCACTTTTCCTATATGCACGTATCATAGTGAAAATATGCAGTAAAGAAAACCAAGCGATATGCAACTTAGAGTGCATGCATTTGGAAGGGAGTGCTTATACTCTGTGGAAGATGAAATAAGCAAATGTTATTATTAATAGTTATCTGAGTTATCCAGGCTAAAGCTCCTCTCTCAGCTTAATTAGCTGCATTTCTGTTCCCTGAATACTTTATGTTGAAGTACACATTAATGAAACAACTACTTCATTACTATGCAGCAAGTAAATCTACTTAGTGTTATTAGATAACTTTAGTAATCCTCCATCAGGTTTTGGTTTACTTTGGTTCCATCTCTTTTTTGTAACAAATAGCTGCACACTTTTATTTTAATTCAAATAGCAGTCTTTACAGTTATATATAATTTTTCACCTTAAGATATTAATTACAATCATGTATTATACAGGTAACTTTTGTTTTTCCAAGTTAATGTGATCCCAATTCCATTAGAATAGTTTAAGGGCTGATGGCTCTCAGTGAGTGTTCCTCAAACACCCTTCCTTTTCCATATCTCTGAGCCTTTTGTTTATCTCAAAATTCTCCCTGAATGTTGGATTCAGTTGCCTAATCCTACTCAAGAAATGGTTGATATCACTCCCCAATCTAATTTTAGTTTAAGCAGCCACTTGGTGAAGATATTTCCCTCACATTTGTGTGATCAGCTCCTGCAGCAGGGCATCATGCATCAGCAGTCACACTTCTCACAGCAGTTCTGGTTTCTCCTGCTTAAATATTCAGCTTCTTTGTTTGTTAGCACTTCATTCTCTTCCTCTGCCTGCTTAATCAGAATAGCCTTCTGAATTGCACAGATGACAGCCTCTGCCAGGTATTCAATCTTTTTGCATTGTATTCTCAGGCAACATCCAGGCTCTTCATTTTCCATTTGTCCCATAGTTCCAGCAGGACGGCAGGCCATCCCCAGTGATCAGGTTGCACTTTGGTGTCTGTAAAGGTGAGGCGTAAGCAATTAATTGCCTTTTTCCCTATGCCAGTCTTTAGTTAGTGATCTAGTAGGGGGCTTGTTGGAAATATTGTTCCAGTACTGCATCTCTTCCCCAGCTTTCTCACGTTGTTTCCAGGTTCATGTTTGTGCTAGGTCTGACTGGTTTCTTACTACACTATTTGCTACCACTGAATATGTGCATGGACTACTTTGCTGCTTCTTTTTATTTTGTTATCCCCCTTTTACCAAAGAAGAATACCTGAGAGTGCTGACAAAAATAACAGATTTTACACCTTCAAAGTGATACACTCCAGTGGATTTTCTGTTTGTTTTCTTGTTTACTATTATTTAGTGGCCCCTAGATCACTTCCCTTGTATGGGTTGCTAGCTCATTCCATACCGTGCCAGTATTTATATAAAACTAAATGCATTTTTGTGTCCAGGACATCTGATACAGCTCTTTAAATTCACTCTGGTCCTACTTCAAGACTTGTCCACCTCTACCATGCACAAAACTTTGAACAGAGACTGACAATTTTTTCTGCTTCTAATACATCTCTGGGGTTTTTTTGGCTTGTGATCACTGATCATTCAGATGAAACAGTATTTCAATTTCTGACCTTCCTTTTAAAGCTTATAGAGTGTTACACATCTGCTCACAATAGGCAGTTGCTACTGCAGGAACTGACTGATTTGCAAGAATCTGTACCTCAGAGACCTAGTCCCTGCTGAATATGCCATTCCCTCATCTCAGCCCTTTCTTAAAAAAGGAGAGGAGGATGGATGTTCCTAGGAGCAGAGTTGGCATGTCTAGTAAGGGGTTGGATTTGGTTTTCTCACTCCTTGATTCCCCTGTCGGTCTACCTGATTTTGTCCTTTACAGATAACACATAATAAAAGCAAAGTCTGTACTCAGCTGTGTCATGAGAAGGGAGGAGAGACAGAGATCTCTGATCACCTAGGGCTGTGATCAGAGGCTTTTAAAACAAGTATCAGCAAACTTAGGGCTTCCATCTAGTGTCCACCTGTCATCAGCTTGCTCTGACTGCCATCTATTTTTTCCTCTTTCTCTCAGATTGTCAGCAAACTGTCATCTTCCATCACAGAGACTGCCACTTACCCAGGCAAGGTTTGCCTGGAGTGAGTCACAGCCAGATCATAGAGAGATGTAATTACTGTTTCTCTGCTTTCCTTGGATTGTTAGTGACCCTGACCCACCTGGGCTGCCCAAAATTCATTTGTTTTACTGTAAATGAGATGCCTGCCAGGACACAGGAATGCACACCAGCTGCATTCCTGATCTTCTATGATGATTATAGGCGTCCACGTGCAAAACCTTTTTTGGAGGGTTGGTTGCTCACCAGCTTACAGGAAGGGTTCACAGAGGATTTGCCCACATACTCCACTGATTTGTTGACACTCAGTCTTACTTACTACACCATATACATAGCACTAAGAATTTACTGTTAGTCCAGTAAATATTCTAACAGTCTGAATTAGCTGATTAATACAGAAAAGCCTCACTTTTCTGATGTTATGGTTACCTTTCCAGTGTGCCTCTAGGTCCTGATGTTGGCTGTTTAACTCTTGCTGATGCAGATGAGAGAGTGGGTTTGCTTTACAACAAGTCATCAGCCCCTGAGGTCTTCATGAGAAAAGCAATGATGTTCATGTTGGAGGGTTCTAATTCCTCAGTCTTGGGTACATTTGGTTTTACTTTTAAAGCTCTTCCTTACGCCATCTGCTTCCCTCTTATTGAAACCCAGCTAGTTTGCGTATTGCACAATATCTTTACTCCAGGGCTCTCAGCAGATATCTGCCATCCTCTGCAATTTTATTCCGCAATTATACAAAAGTTAACTCCACTAAAATCAGTAGTTTCAGCTATGTAAGACTGTAATTCCTTAGTGGAGAATTCAGGAGACAGGTTAGAGAACAGTGGTTGATTTTTCAAATTCACAGTAGTTTTGCTGAGATACATAGTCAGCAGAGCTGTATAAACCTGGAGGTCACTGCATCATTAAGTTCAAATTTGTCATTTAGCTACTTGAGTAAAGCATCTATAAATAGAAGACACTACGAACATTTATAATGTCTCAATACAAAGGCCCGTTTTACGGTCTGCCTGCAATTTAGTAGTTTGTCAATATAGAATATAAAAAACTTGAGTCCGGTATCTCTTCCAGTTTGTTCTGGTTTTGCAAAATTTGCCAAATTTATGTTAAAACTCTGACACAGGTTATGAAAAGCCGTATGTCTATGACTGTTGGGTCCATAAGCAAATCTGCTGATTGTGCATTACTCTCTTATATTAGTCAACTGCTCTTAGATAAATATGCTGTAGAAATACTTAAGTATTCAAAATGCCCTGTCCTGGTGAAAAATAACAAATATTTTTACATCTTGTTTTATTCCAGCTCTTTTTCCTCATAGAATCTGCAGTATGAATGACTGTGGTAGGATAAATGACAATACATGGACCAATAGGTTTACTGAGTCTCTGGAACCCATCTGCTATTTACTTTGTATCACTGACTCTCAGTGTTCTAGGCAAAATTATTGTTACAGATACATATTTTTGCCTTAATATCAACCTTCTCTAAATTCAACATTTTTTTATCAGTGATACAGTTCACTGTCTCTGGTCAGTCAGGTTGGTAGTAGTCAAGTACCAGCCATAGTAATACACTATAAATAAGGAATCTTTTCAAAAGTCTTTCATGTCTTACTCCCATTAAAACTTAGACTCACAAACCAAACTAAGTCCTCTCCTGACATTTTTCTGTTGGTCATTATCTGGTTCATCTACCATTTGCGGTTAAGGCATTAAGTTATGCAAATAAAGACACAAATTCATAAGATCATTGTCCAGATTGTTAGAATTATTTGTTCTGTTTCCTCCTGCTGTTTCAGCTACACACAAATACTAAATTGCTCTTAGGGTTCATTAATTATCTGTTTCTTCTTGATCTATGCACTCCTTCAACTGTCTTCTCAGTAACTCCTGTGTTGTCATCTGTTTCAACACATGCAGAAGAAAAACACACAAAGGTTTCCATCCTGGGAGCTGAGTCATTCTCTAAATCAGGACCGTCATTCTCCGAACGCAAAATCTTTCTCTGCAGAACTTAAGGGCAAGTATTACCTATGTGATTTTACAGAGGATGTTTTAGCTTCTCTTACTTTAAATTACTTGTGTGTCTGACTGAAAAACACGTTTTAGTAGTATCCACCAAAGTTTTCTTTGTATTTGTACCATATGTATTGCATAATGCCATAAGCTTGGTTATCCTTCTCAGTTCTGTGTTCTATTTCCTCTAATTTTGAATCAGTTATCATTTCAAAATATACTCACATCTTCACTGGTTTGTTTTTTGTACATACATCTAATTTCTGTGAACTGTAACTACTTTCCTATCATCCAGGAAACCTCAAGTGCTCCAGGAACATAGCCTCCTGTACAATAAAATTGTTATTCCAATCATACCATTAAAAGACGCTCACAGTGCATATCAGTCTGGCTTAAGTCATCTGATATACGTAACATTTAAAAGGGATGCCTAATGAGGACATATATTAGAAAATCCTGAAAGTGAGGAAAAAGCAAGACCAACTGTTTGTTTCTTATCCTTATCACTATAAAATACCATACACATTCCTTGTATTTTTAAATAAATGGACTTGCTTTTAATCTTGTCTCAGTGCTTGCCGAAAGTTTATACTCTGGTAGGTTGAAACCACTCTACTACTACTACAAGTTATTAACACTGATTTTTCCTATTTATATCCAAATTGCTGGATTACTTGCAGCTCTAAATAAGATTTACATGAAGACTTTTGAAGAATCTTGCCCTTAAATTGTATTGCATTGCTTGAAATAAAACTTTTCAGCTGATTTCTCCAGTATAATTCTTTTCATGTTTTAGGAATTTTCATACTAGCTCTGTTTTTATAAATACTGCCTTTATTAAATTTGTAATATCCCAAAATAATACTATTTTTGTTTTTTTTTCCTTGGTTTATTTGCTTATGTATTTATCTTCTCCCTATCACTTGTCCACCTCTTTTTTGTTTTAATGTGAATTTTTTCCCTCTTTTTTTTTTCAGTAAGTCATGTGGCATTGATATCCTTAAGGAATTTAAAGTTACACAGAAGAAAATTGAGCCCCATGCCGACAGATGAGATAGGCTTTATGGTTTCTCCATGATCTCATTGCATGTTGGTAAAGGGACAGGACTGTGGAATACGAGATATAAGTGTCATCAAAATACTTCCCTGGTTTTATAAGGAGTTGCACAAGGAGTCATTCCATTTCTGTAAAATGAAGCATGGGTATTCATAACTGAAAAACCAACATTGCCAACAACAGAAGAGTAACTGCCATATATTATTTCTTGTTTTTCTGATTTCCTTTCTATAGAATGAAGTATAGATACTCATATTAAAAAAAAAATAAATAAAACCAACAATAAGAAAATCTATTACCTGTTGTCTACTGTTTTTTCTTAAATCTAGAAATGTTTTGCGAAATTTAACTTAAAACATGAGGCAGATGTCCTGCTCCAATTTTTCATCTTTAGAATAAACTCAAGTATTTCAGCTTTTAACATCTGTCCTGCTTGTTCACATGATTTCATTTGTATGTTGGGGACCAATTTTTCATAAACATTAAGATCTCTTTCAACAATAGTGGAGAACTGAGGTGGGTTCTGTTGTATTTCTGTAGTAAAGTACATTAATTTTATAAACTATTCAATACTCAGAAATATGAAAACAAGCCTTTTCATAAATTTGAATCAGGTACATTGTGCCTTTCAGATTAATGTATTTTACATACTGCTTTGAGTGCAAGTTTGCATATTATCTGAAAGAGGTTTGATTAGTTTTATTCTCTTAATTCTTTTCAAAAAAGTCTTTTGCATTGTATATTAGCTCTATTAGTAAAAAGTATAAAATCTTCTCTGATAACTTTCCAATATGTTAGAAAAGATTCAACAAAGCCTTTAATTTCTTTTGTCTTACATTGTAAACCTGGATAGTTAGGAAAAAAAAATCTTACAAGAATATGGTATCTGCATTTAAATACGATGCTGTCATTCATAGTTAGAGATAATATGCAGGGGTTATAGCTATGTGAGCTATTTAAAAATCAAAACCAGCACAGTTGGAATGTAGTCATGTTTGGAGGAGCAGTACATAAAAGTTACCCCTCAAGAACATATCCTTCTAAAGGGCAACCAAATATAATTGTTTCATGTGGTGCTGTATAATTGAGACGACTTGGAATTCCCCCTCTTGTAACACTTTTGATCTCTCTGTTAAGTTTGACAGGGTAAGGTTAAATCTCCTCCTATCACGGGGTGGGAAATACTTTTAGTGCTAAGAATAGCTCTTTAAAGGCAGATGGAAAATCTCCTTTTCCAATGTACTTGTTAATTACCATAACACTCAGTGAATTCATCTTTGCTGGCAGAACATACCTTGTTGCTGCATCAGTGAAAACTGAGTTTCTTGTTGACTAAAAGTGTCACTTGCCTGGAATTACTGGGCCCAAAGAAGTAAAACCACAGAAAGTAGAGCAAGATTTTGTAAAAATACATGGTTCTGTTCTAAGCAAAACAGCACATTTCTTTTTAGATGGTATTTAAATTGAACACAGGACTTTTGAGTCATTAAGCCCAGATGATCTGATCTGCTCTTGTTCTGGACCTCATAAGACCTGCTGAATTACTGGCTTTGCAGCAGTGTCACTGACAGCAGAAAACATGTTAGTAAGAAAACTTACCAATGTGCTTGAACCTTAGAACTTGAGGTGAGCAGTGCCAGGGATATCTGAGGCCTGAAGGCAGAGGCAAAACACTCCTTCCCTCCTACAATACACATGGAAAACTCTGAGTAAGGAAGAAGGGATAGAGAATATGTAGATCACCAGATCTGTATGGACATTGCCTATTTCCACAGGACCACCCTCACCCTTTCCCATATTCTTTGCCCCAGCACAGAGAGAATCACTGTGTAACCACAGTTTAAGATGTATGCTTCAATGCCTTCTGTTCGATCTAAAAGAATTTTTTTGACCCACCTCCCAAAGTGCTGTGCACTGCAAGTAAAATACATCCCTAAGAAATTAGTAATATATGAAGCCTTATTTGACTTTCAGCTGCTGAAATAAGATACTCATTTTCTCTAAAGTGTATGTAGGTGGATGTCTTGAGTTTATGAACTGCCAAATGTGTGGCTTGGGGATAATTGCCAGAGTTGCAAGGCAAACAAGAAGCTGCCAAGCACTGGGTAGTGACAGTGCTTACCTAAAATCCAGTTAGGATCCACTGTTCCTAGTAAGAAGTACAATCCATCTGTAGAGTTTTCCAGAACAGGCATCTCCAAGTCATCATCAGCATGAAGTGACAAAGTATAGAAGAAAGATTTCAGTATACCTTCAGAGCACATGGTACTAGGGGAAAAAATGCAAAATGAATGATCTCAGCATAATTAGGGAGAAGACAATTAGCTAAAGAGTCTGTTATTCAAAGAAAATTGCCACCACTGATGCTGCAGAGGTGAAGAAAAGTTTTAAAAAAAACAAGTAATGCATAATTTAGAAAGCTCTGTTTTCATGCTCTCAATACAAATTCACTGTATCTTGTTAGAACTTGGCCAATTTATCAATAAAAGTTAACCAAAAAAACATGATATAATTAATTAAATACTTAACTATGACCCACTCAGATATTGAAGGGAAATGCAAAGTGTGACTTCTTTTAGAAATGTTTTTTCTGGTTGTTTAAGGTCTTTTTTATTAATTCAAAATCTTGTCTGTACATTGGTTTTGGTCTGTAGGTAATCTACAAATAATCTGGGACTAGCATTCATATCTGGAAAATTGTGTTCTTTTGGCTTATTTTGACTGAACTTGCATGATATTCCTGTTAGCTGTGGATACTCAGCACTTTGCTGGTGCTAGATGTTTTGGCATGGCTAGCTCAAATGCTGTTTTGAGTGATTTTTCTCTGATGGCCATTTAAAATATGTTGTTTCTATAAGGCTGTGATTATCACAACCCAAAAGGAACAGTAAATTACTGAGCATGTTCTTTCACCAATTTGACCGAATATTCCCTGAAATATTTCTAAGCATTCACTGACTGGCAGATAGCAGTGCCTTTATATCCAGGAGTAGTTTCCCGTGGGACAAGAACAGTTGCTGGACCTTGCTTCTACCTATTCTCTTCAGTGCACAATCTTTCTGAGTGACAGGGCTCTGCCCGCTTACTATCATAGCAGAACTCCCCCAAGACACTCTCCTTTAAACCTGATGAGCCTGCAGCATACTGTATTCTTTATTTCTGCATTTAAATCTCCTTCTCAGAAGTGCATCCCTTAAATGGCTGGATTCTCTGTGTTTCAGTCTTTCTAGTTTGAATGTCCTACATCTACCACTTTTTGTCCAGGCTCCAAAGAAGCATCTTTTTGTTTCTAACCTTATTAACGCGGTAAGCCAAACGATGAGTCTCCTCTGTGTGACACTCCTCTCTGGGTAGTAGACCGGCGTGCAGTGACTCGCAGCTTCTCCTGGAACAGTTTTACAGAAAACGGCAAAATGTTTCTCCATCTGTATCTTGCTGTCAAGCTTATCCACTCCAGTGCATGAAGTAAGTTGACTTGCTGCCAGTATGCCGAGCAGTATTGCCAGTGTCACGGGTCCCCCACCTGGCACCCATCATTGTGTTTTTCACTGCTGCTCTGGAGATGCTAGCCACCTATCTCCTTCCTGGGCTGGATTTAGCCTGAGTTTTGACTGTAAAACTTAAAAATGAGAAAGCAGGGCTGTAACCTGGAGATAGGCAAAGTAGGTCATTCCTCAGTTAGCGATTCCACCATTTCTCCTTTCATAACTCTTGATATATTCTTGGAAATATCGCTAATCACAGTCTGGTTCCCTGGTTCCTTGATTCTCTGATTAATTTCAAGCAAATTCATCATGAAAATATCAAGCAGTTAAACTGAGTTACATGTAATATTCATGAAGCAGCTATCCCCCCAAGTCCTAATAAAGTCAGAGATGCTTATCCTGCTGGTTAGCTTTCACTCAGCATAAGTAAGGATCAAATTATGACCCTTTACTACAGTTGTTAGAGAAACCTAAGGCTGTTTATTTTAACTACTACATTAACTAAACGTGATTGGTTTTAATGGCATGATTCTTGGTAGCATTACAGATGGCAAAAAGGAATTTTTTTGGAGGGTCTGATCCTGTAGCCACCCCAGGCAGCCAGCTAATGTTCCTCCCTTCTCAGAGAAATATCTGTGGGAGAAGCGGTGGCAGTCTGAGGCCTCAGAAGAGTTCTCAAGGCACAGCTCACAGATAAGCCAGTTTACTGTATTTCATTTCCTAATCTACTTCATGCCACTCTACAGTATTATATTCACACTTCTCACCTCAGGACTTTTTGGTTGTTTTTTTTTTTTTTTTTTTTTTTAACCTGCCATACCTAAAGGCAAGTTACAGACCTTATTTAATCCCGAAGAGCAAGGATGTTAATTGGGTTGAAAATGGTAATGATGCGTCTGATTCTGTCTTATCTGTGGTGCTCCTCCTGCTCTCAGGACACCTGAGTGCACCTGCATCCCAGAACAGTGGCTTGAACACAAATGTTTCTGTGCTGCACCCAGCTCCTCCCTTGACCCGTTTTCAGTGGCACATTACACAGTGAATCAAAAGTGAATCCCACAATATTTCTCTTCATTCTGTTTCTGAGTAAGAGCAGGTCTGTGCTTGAGACTTTTTTTTTATACTTATTGCCTCAGTTAAAGCATAATTAGCTCCATGAAAAGGAAGGGGATTAGCGACCTCCACTTTAGCTGAGACCTCTTATCACCTTTACATTTCAGGCTTACTACTTGGTTCTTCAGCTATTTCAATTACCAGTCAAGGAGGGTTTTAAGTCTGCAGTATAATAATACTTGCAATTACTAGTAAATAGCATTTTACAGCATTAACTAGTCTGTCCTCACCACATCCCTTTCAGGCAGGCAAATAAATATTATTATGCTCATTTTAAAAACACATTGATTAAGTGACTTGCCTAAAGGCCACACATCAATTTCAATGTCAATGCCAAGATTAGCACAGAGAAACTTCTGCATTGCAGTCACAGAAGAAAAGTGATCTGTATTATCAAGTCCATCCCCCACCCAGAAACAAGCAATCACTACTCAGATGCGTAGTCTAGATAGCATTTACCCATTTCACATCCCCCCATATGCCTGTATGCTTTGTTCACCTGTTAAGCTGCTCCTTGATGATGGCTCGAAATGGTTCCCAGTATGTCTCTAACACAGGAAGCTTTTCTATCTACCTCCTGGTTTCAACCCAAGGACTGGAAGGCACTGCCTGGAGAACCTGTGAAACTCCCACATTGGAGTCTGAGCTTGTGGAGGTGATGGGCAAGGGAAGGAAGAGGCTCTCTGAAGGGCAACATGAAGATGAGCAGTAGTCTGAGGAAGCAGTAGTGGCAGGATTAGCAAGAAATTAGGAAGATCTTCCAGCATTTTAAGGAATTTCTTTCACCCCTCCAACAAAGCAAATTTTCAACTTGTAGGTTGTATACAGCAGGTACAATTCTCTTTCCTATTGCTGCTGTAGATTCTGTTTGGAAATTGTGGTAGTTGCACTGATAATGTTGGAAGTTGAGTCTTCAGCTCTAAAATGCAGTAGCATCTCTGGTCCTCTGCCTGTTGTGCTATTGGGTAAATTGCTCACTTTTAAAGCTCCTGCTTTTAAATTTGGAAGGAATTTTGGATTTGATCTCCATTGTCTGGTTTAGACAGACAGATTGTGTCTGTGTTGATCTCCTAACTGACTGGTGAGCAACAGACCTTACTGAATGCATATGCTATGTATGACAAATGAAAGTATAACAAGTAACATCATAACATGCAAAAATCTGTTAAACAATACTGAGTTTCTAATGTTAAAAATCTGCTCTGTTTACAGGCAGTTATTTCAAAGGAAAAATAAGATGGTGGCTCTATTTGTTTCCCCTCCAGAACAAGTCTTCCCTACCTGGAAAAACAAACAAAACAGAGAAACTCGGGACAGTACTTTTAACAGCTAATTAAGGCCATCCACAAGTAAGTGTGGTAATGTTTTGTTCTGATTTAGGTACAGTTCACAAGATCTTTCTGACTCAATTTCTAAATGTGACAGAAAATCAAAATATTTGTAAATCTTTTGAACTGCAGTAGTATAGTTTGTCAGCAGATTCACAAATCTGTCATTAAAGCCCACGGTGTCATTTGCCAACACCCGAATTTGACCTAGTCATTGAAGCTGATGCTGTGCCAATGTCTGAAAGCAGATACATTGAAAAATTCTCCAGCATTTATGATAGATACTGGTATTTCAGACCAGACTCTCAGGCGATGAATTATATTCTTAATAAGCATACATGACAAAGTTAAATTTAGAAGTAGAATTTGAAATAGTTGCCAAGTTTTAACTGAAGGTCATTTGTACTTTATTTTAAACCTATGCACATGTAGACACTCAAGGGAAATGTGTGAGCTTACCTTCAAAATATTAGCCATATGAATTATACTTTTGACTTTTTTTTCTGGCTTTTAAAAGATTATTTCTTGCATAAAACTAACATCATTCAGTTTATTGCTTGTGAGTCACCTGTAGATTGCAGTATTATTCAATAAGTTTAAGCCTGTCAGAATTTTATATTAGCTCCATTATTCATTAATAGCAAAAAAATAAAGAGTCTTTCTAAACAAATGCTTAAGCGTGTTTTCTTGGCTCTTCATTGGCTTGGTCTTCTGTGCAACTCTAGTCCTTACTCTTCCACCTCAGAGTTGTTAAGGTGTCATATACAGAATTGATAAGTTTAGCTACATTAAACTGTGATAAATCAGAGTGTTAATATCGCCTAGTGAAAAAACAAAACATGGCTGGATGGCCGTAGATGTGATTATGTGTTCTGAAGCCTGATGAATATTGTACCATGCCACAATTTAAGATGCTTAAGGGTTTCACAACCTTAATTGCGTTTTAATGATGGCAACTCTGTTCAATTATGTACTCTAGCTTCTTCAAAAAAAATCACTTAAGGCTTTAAAATGATATTGTGGTACATCTCACCTGCAGGGCTGCTGCAATATCTGGGCTATGTCCTATTGTCTTCAGTGGTAGTTTTGGATGCTAACAAATGCAAACCAAAGACTTGTGCATTGGGAAAAAAAAAAAAAAGAAAAAAAAAAAAAAAAACAACTGAATATATAATCAAGAATAAAACAAGATGAAGTAATAAGAAAGACAATAAAATAACAGAAGACACTGTTTACATGAAAATGACATGTTCTCTTTAGCTCGCATGTTCTGTGGAGCAAGTAGCATCAAGTGTTTTCTGAGGTACATTACACTGCACAGTGGGAACTGGGTGTGATTGATCCTTAGGAAATACCATGAACATGTCTGTTGAGAAGACGTTCCTTCTGTTTTATAATTTATTTTACTGAGCTTCTCATAAACTCTGTATTACCTCCATGCTAAAAGAAATTAATGATTTTGACGAGGCACTTGGATTCCAATCTACTAAAGTACCTAGAGGCTTGCATATGCTCATCTTCTGAAACTTGTAACAGTCTCACTGCCTTTGATGAAATTTCTCACATCATGAGAGTCAGAGACATGCTTTAGTATTTCACTGAATGAAGACTTTAGCCATTTTTCCTTTCTTTGCACTTATTTCTAAGACCTATCTTCTTAAAACTGTACTAGGTTGATGATACTTCAGCATTTTATTATGGTTTTTGGCTCAGTTTTCTTACTCAAATGTTCACTGGTAACTCAACTCTTTCATTCACTTCCAGAATCCACTCATTATTTTAATAAATATCTCAAGTCAGAGTGTATAATGAAATTAAATATTCAGCTGTGCTTTCAAAATAAGTTAAAATTACCTACTGAACATAGAGTCTGGTGCAGAAGGCCTTATTTTCACTTTTAGAAGCCCTTACAAAGAAAAGTATATGTGTTTGTCCAGAAACATAGTTTGTGCAGGAACTATGGGTGAAATCATCCTTACTTATGTGCAGGACGTCAGCCTAGCTGATCAAAACACTCCCTTGTGGCCTTAAAAATCTGTGATGTATTTTGAAGCTTATGATTGCAGCATCAGATCAATGATATGTTACCTTTGTTTCAAAAGAACAATCCTCTGTGATCATTACTGCTGCGTTAGCTGATCATTTTAAATTAACATAACACAAAACAATTTCAAAAAATCAATTCATATTCTTATCCCCAGAGTTCCAATTTTAAATATGGAAAAAGTGGAGTCAGAAAATGGGTATTTGCAGGAAGAAGGTGCCTTCTATTTCCCAACCAACCCTTCCATTATCTCATGGTGCTTTTCAAATAAATGATTTCATGTAGCTCACAACTTCTAAAGGGATTTGAAGGTTATTGCCTTCCATTCATTTCCAAGTAGATTGGATACTAAAAATAAAACGTAATGACTCAGAGCTTACCTTTCCTGACTCCGGAGCTGAAATGGTAAATATTTAATAAGGGAAACTCTCTTTCCCAAAGTTTTGCTATTCTTTGTCTTTCTCTATAATAAAAAGAAAAATTCATTTTTAAGCACATAGCTGTCCAGGTACCACGCTCATGAATAATCATGTTTCCATAATATAGATGCACAATCCTCATTCTGCAAAAACATGTGAGGATTTTTACTGATGATAGTAGCCCCAATAAAGACAGGGAGAATATAAGTGAAGAGCTACCATTCACTGTTGAAAAAAATCATGTAGGTATATAATCTTTCCCTTCACGCAATACAATGGCAAAATGGAGTAAAAAAAAATATGTTGCTGTATACTTTACTGTCTTGCATCACTGGAACATCTGCAAACATGATATATGTATTATACAGATTACAGTATATATTTTTTTTAAATATATGTATATAAATACTATTCATGTACTCTTGAGAGCAGTGGGCATGGTGCAGCATTTCTACTTTGGCCCACTTTTCAAAGGGAAAAGTACAAAAGCATAAGGCTGACAATCTTAGTTCTTTTTTTGCAAGGTCTGAATAGCTGGATATAATTTGTTTCTAATTCCAATTGTTAAAAGACATTTACCTAGAAGAAAAACCTATTAGGAGGAAACACATGATGCTTTGTGCATAGCCAAGTGAACAAAAGAATCTTTCTAGCTATCATCCCAAGGAGACGCTGCAGCTCCTTTGGAAAATATCTCTCAGAATAGCACAATGCATTTGGCTCAAGGTGAGAGATCAATAAGGGTGTGTCAGCAGGGTGAGAAGCATAAATACGGAGTACGAGGGAGCAAGTACAAATAAAAACGCCGAGCTGGATATTTCAGCTCCCTCTCCAATCATCTTCCCACACTGTCAGATGCACACAGGCCCTGGCTCAGACCCCTGGACTCTGAATGATTTCAAAGACACAGGGGTTTTTTCTTTAAGATGGGAAAATATTATTTGGTAGAAACTAGCTGGCATAGATACAGTAAGAAAAAGTCTCCACAAATCTTACTGATCCTAACAAGTCCCTGCCAAAAGGAAATGCATGTACCATAGGCACTGGAAGTCTGAAGGAGTTCTTAAGGCAACTTACATGTAGGGAATAGCAAAGGTGTTCTCTGGGCCTCACCTCTTCACCAGGAGAGAACGTGAGCTGGGTTGGTGGTAGTCTCAATTCAACTGTCCCCAGGGCTCAGATTACCCACCCTACTTCTTACCTGGCCTTCCCACAGCAACGCAACCACAGTGGAGCCTTGGCGTGGAAAGTGCACTCAGGTCACTCGGATAGTGCACACAACTCAGAAGCCACAGGCTGCCCATCCTGTATTAATCCAATTTGCTGTTCTATACAAAATCAAGTAAACCAAAGTGTATCCTGAAAATCGTCACTGCAAATTAAACTGATTTTTTTCTTCTGCTGCATGACTGGTGTAAGAAGACATTATTGTCCTTTTGCTCTGCTAAGTACAAGAAAATGCTTTCTGCTGGTAGCATTAAGACAGAGATTTCCATCTTTCAAAAAGCAGCTAACAGTACATCTGTAGTAAAAGACACAGCATAGGCCACAAATAGGTGCACATGGCCACCATGTTGCATACTGAACATAGTTTAAATTCCCTCATGTGGCTACTGCTGTCTGACTGCTGAAGGTGTCTTGAAGATCAGCATGGTTCAAAAGTCACCTTGGCATCTGGTTTGATAACCAGAGCTAGCTAATGTTGAGCACCTGAAGCTAAAGAGCCAGAGTTACCTACTTTAAAACTATCTTAAGAACATCTGCACTCACCTGCAGTTCATATATCTTAGAGGTATGTTATGGATGATGCAACTGCAATTCTTCAGATTACCCCAGCCCCCCCAAGTATACTAGGACTGGGATTGTAATGATGAGCTCTGGTTCAGGGCTGTTCTAAATAGGAAAAATTGCATCCAGAATTAGATTTTTGTTTAAATTCCACAACAGATATAAAAGACAACTCATGAAGTTCACAGAGAGATCTTGATTTCCATAAAGTTCACATGATTGAATCTTTTGTTTTGAGATTATTTCTAGTTCAAATCTAGTGGTGCTTCCTAGAAAATTCTTGTACCTGAAAAATGCAATTTCTCAATAACTTGCATTGCAAGCTTCCTTTACTTTTAGATTTCCAAACTTTGTTAAGGTGAAACAGGCATGGATAAATTCTTCATAAAGAGAAAAAATGTAATTTTTTCTTAAAAATACATTACCAACACAAAACTTGGGATGCCTGGGGAAGGTTGAGAGGATTGAAGCTGCTATTTTTGATTAGCTGCCTGTTTCAGCCTCAGCATAGTAGGAAAAGGAGATGTTTACATGCTTTACTTTTCTAACATGTATTTCTCTGCATTTGGGGAGGGCAAGATGAAGCTGAGAGTGTGGTAGAAGGACCCAAATGGAGCAGTCTTAATGGCACAGTTATAGTTTCATTTTATCCTCCAAATGGTGCCAACCAAGGTTATATCTGTTGGATCTGTATTCCTTGGCTAGGAATCTAACATTTAATTTCTTTGATCTCTCCCAAGACAGAGTAATGATGTTACCAAACCCTTCCAAACATCGTGAACTACTCACAACAATATTATTAGCGTTATTACTTTTACTCATCCTTGCAAAAAATGGGTGATTTGGGAGTCTAGGCATGAAAGCCAAAGTGTCAGAGGTACTCAGAGGTACTGCTATCTGTTTCTTTCTGCAGGCTAAATAGTTGCTCCTTGAGCCGACACTTGTATTCCCTGATGGAAAATTTTCAGTTGTGCTAATTAAATAGTGAACATAGCTCCAGGTAACAGCAAGTCACATATAACTCACAGTCTATTGTTGATTGTTATTTTTATTCTTTAGCTCTCTGCTTTAAATTGCGTATGTGTAAGATAGATGCAACAATTTTTGGAAGACCCTTCTGCATCAGCAAACATACTTACCGCTTTATCTCTACATCTTCAAGTAAGTCATACCATGCCTCATTATGTCCATGTGCAAAATGAGAGAAAAAAGGTGAAATTACTTTTACTAAATTGCACAGCAAATCAGTAGCAGAACAAGGAATGAACCCAACCACTCCTCCCTTCCATCATCCCCCCCCTTTTGCCTTGTGTCCTGGACCATCTTGCAAACAAGCTTGGTGACTGCATGCTTGCCGAAGTGCATTTGTTTGTATTGTCTTGTCAGGGATTTAATTTCACAACATCACATGCCACCAACACAAGCGTGTTATTGCAATTTAGCATGCGTTTTGTTGGTGTGTTCTATATCTCATTAAAGTCTCATCTCTGTAGCCAATACCATATGCTACTCATCTGTAGCAAAGCTCTTAAATGTAATGAAAAAGGTATAATCACAAATGAGAAAGCAACTGTCAACCAGCAGCCTACATATATTCAACTTCCACATGACATCGCTGAAAGAAAGTATATTGTAATAGCAATCCTTTTAAAACCTCTAGTATCTGACAGGAAAAAAAATCGGGGCTTTGGAGGTGTTCCTCAGTCTTTCCTGAGCAACTCAGTGCCATTACAGGATTCTCAGATCACCAGACAATGCCATGTCAACATGTAGGCGACAGATCAATTTCTAACTTCTGTTTTTTAACTGAGAAGAAAGCTTCAAATTATTGATACACTGTACTGGACACTTTATGTTTTCAAAAATACTAATTTAAAAGTTAAAATATTCTGAAAATACTTTGAGAATATTAAGCCTTCTCCTTAAACCTGTTGATTAGCTTTTCTTTCCCCCAGATTTTGATTTTTTTTGTTTTGATTCATGATGGCATTTTAGCTTTTTTCCTGACAATAGGAAAATACACAGATACTTTTTAAAGAATGATAATTTAATGAAAAATAATCATTATAAAACAAAAATATAAAAGACTTAGTGGTGATCAATAGTAGAAGAAGAGATTAGTCAGATTCTGTCCTTAGATGTGTGATGGTAGTTACCATGAATCAATGAGAAATGCAGCCAGATTAGGTAACAAACCAAGTTTAGAAACAGGACCCGAGGGACAGGTTCTAGCTGCTCAGTACTGGTGCTGAAACTTTAATTTTTAAAGTTAGATGGAGATGCTAGCCCTGAAAGGAGCTCTGCATGCATATGATCCTGTGTCCAAGGTAGAGGTGCCACTGATACCTAAGAACCTTTGTCCAAGCCTGTAGGGGTCTGCTCCTAAGTACTGGGTTGCAGGACACAGACTGCAGGCGTGTCGGGGGTGATGCAGAGGGCAGCTGTGGCCGGGCGGTACCCTGAGCTGGGGGCACCACCAGAAGGGACAGTTAGAAATGGAGTGATGGGGCTGGGCAGGCTGCCTGGCTGGGAGAGACTGGGCCAAAGAGAAGAGCTGCATGAGGGCTGTGAGCAAGCAGGATGCTAATCGCCTGCAGTTTCATCCCTGCCTGTGAGAAATAAACCCAAGGACAGGATTTTTATAAGCAATGTTGGCACCGATAGATTACCAGCCCCTATTTCTCATGTGTCCATGAATGTCTGTCACCCTGCTGATAGCAGCACAAGTTCTGCCCCAGGCACTGGTTTGAGAGCCCATGGTGGCCACAGCCAGCTAACCCAAAAGACATTTTCACGAGTCACAATCAACGGGGAGGCTCAATAAAACAAAGGTAACTTTTACCCCTTCAGTATTAACAATAACTTATTGAAGACATGTATCTTGACTCGAGTCCATCTGTAATTAAATCTAAATTAAATTTCACCAAGCAGAATTACCAGGGCCTAATTTTTAGACTCTGTGATAAATCCTGCTTCCTGATCCTGACTAGCTAGCTGTTCACTAGAGACAAAGATCCACTGAAGACCAAAGAACTTTTTCCTTTCTTGGTATGTTAGCTCACATCACGAGAATTAAGCTAGGAGGTTTCTTTGGATAGAAAGTACAATAAACATTTATATTTATGCATGTGTTTTAATTCTACAGACCATAAGATATTTTTGGAACTAAATCAGAGTTCTTGATGTGAGAAAACTGCCATATATTCAAAATCTAATCTTTTCTATATTTCTTTGGTGGGCAGCTTGTTTAAAACACTCTCTTTTTCATAGATCTTCCCCTACTGAAGCTTTATAGATGTGCTAATGGTCGCTTTACTAATGGTTGCCCTGGTCTCACTACAGTTTTTTCTTTTCATTGTAAGTATAATCTTTCTTATGCATACCTTCCATCTGGAAATAAATTGTAGTGAATTAGATGGACCTTTTTAAAAGTGCACAACTTAATGTTAAGTTTTAATTAAGCAGTCTTTTTCATTCATTATTTTTTATCCTAAGAGGCTCTAAATCTTAGTCTGTTTCTGCCTGAATATACATAGATTACTGCCTTATTTTATCTTTATATATTCACTTTGAATGAACTTAGATGAAGCTTAAAATGTTTTTGAGGAACATGTATAAATTGTTTTTGTATGATCCTTTCCTTACACCTGTAAATATTGAAGGAATAAGGAATAATTCACAAATAGTTTTGTGAATCAAGTCCTGTAATTTTCAGTAACAAAACCAATTTCATTAATCACTGACAACCGATTAGTATTGCAAAAACAAAATGACTGTATTCTTATGAAAACTACCACTTACTCTATAATAAATTTAGAAGAAGACTGATAATTTTATGTGCCTCGGTTTCTGAATGACCAACTTAAATTTGAAAGGCCCAGAATACCAGAGGGAAAACACAATTATCTAGGTGTAGTCAATGGATCAGTCTAATTTGTGCAACATGTGGTGCTGAGGTGTGTGATGACGCTTCAGTCCCTGCCACAATAAAAGGTCACTTCCCTGCCTTGCTTATAATTCTCAGTCTTCTTTACAGCCTGTCTAAAGCATCTGCCTGTGCTTTGTTCAGGTTGTTGGGTAGTCTGAAGTCCTTAAGCAACGTTGTCTATTAATCATTAGCAGTTATTCTGGATTTATTATATAAAATGATTAAGAAATATCTATTCCAGATGTCTACACAAAGCTTCATGTGCTACATAGATATAATCATGAACTAACAAAGCTTTTTCCCATGAATGTTGCTACCTGCAGAAAAGGAACAAATTAATTCCACACATCTTTTGTTATTATTTATAAACTGATTCTTAAATAAAGATGCTTACATCTGCCTCTTGCTCCAGATGGTGCAATTTAGCTGCCTATGTTACTCACAAGTTGGTTTTGGTTTTACACAAATACTTAACCCAGCAAATGCCTTATCAAGAATTCTTCATTTCTCACAACTGAAACCTAAACTTCATTGCTGCTTTAATTCTCAGAATGGGGAGTTTCCTGTCTCACAGGTCAAAAGTACAAGGAAAAAAAAAATCTTTTTAGTATTTCAGTGCAACAGCCACAGTTGTAAAACTGCCCAATACTGTGCACTCCAGATACTAGGAAAAATTCAGGCAGCAAATTTAATCCAAAATTCTCACGAGGCCTGACAGTGTGCAGATGACAGGACAGACCTGCAGCAACATTTTTCTTTTTTTCTTTTTTTTTCTGCCACATCACCTGGTCACTGAGTTTACATTTATGTTCCAGCCCCTAGGAGTATCAGTTCCAGCTTACAGCAAATCTTTCAATATATAGAGCGATGCTGTGTCCTTGTCCTAAAATCTGCCCAGGAGGAGAGAGTGAAAAGGCTGTAGCCCTCTGCCAGCACAGATGCGTGCTGGATGCTGCTTTCCTAGTTAAGAAACATAGCGGGATGGTGCAGCTGCTCCTGGGGAAACTAGAAAAAAGCAATATATATGGGATGTCCTGTAGGAATGTAAACAACACAGCATGTGTTGTTTGGCAAGGTCCTAGCAAAGTTATGGCCCACATCCACCATATGACTAGCTTTTGTAGAGATCTTCAGATGTGATTTACCTGTCTGCTGACATAGTAAGTAGAAATGACTGAAATATCCCTTTGCTAGTTTATACTCTAGCTGCAATTTTTGCTTTGAAGCTTTATTACCAGTAACATATTTTGAAACAATATTAAATTCTAAAAAGTTATAGAATTATTTCACTTTGAATTTGTAAAATCTTACTCTTGTAAAACCAAACTCTCAGACTTATTTTAAATTTTGCAATGTTCTGGAGACTTTCATAATAAAATAAATGTGTAGATTGGGTGAACCCCTTCAGAACAGTAACACATAGCTAGCTAGATTAAAAACAGAGTAAGTGAATGCTTTCCAAATTATTATGTTAAAAAATGACTGGAAATCTCTGGTTCAGGAAGCTTGAGGGGAAAAAAATTGCTACTGCTTTTCACTATTTAAATGAAAAACAAATCTACTTCAACAAATTTTACTATTGGAGTCATTTTGGAGCCAGAAATCATGTTAAAGGTAATATTTAAATAAAGATCATCTTTTTATTTGTGATTTCTATGTGTGTTCCTTTACTGTTGTTGAGGGGTTGGGGGGAGATACTGTTTTTTGTGGTTTATTTATTAAAAAAATTATAAGAAAAACATTTGGAACAACTTAAGCCTGATTTGATTTTCTGCTTCTGTATTTAAAGTGATATGTCCTTTCATTATGAAACTTTCTTGAAAGATGAAAAATTTCTTAATTCTCCTTTGTCCAGAAAAAATAGTGTAGTGAAGACGGTAGCCACAGCCATCTAATCTTGTGGGTGTGTGCTGAGCATCCAGAGTTTTTTACCAGAATGGGCATAACGTGGATCTTGATCTGATTTTAACTGAAGCTACTAACATAGCTTCTTCAAACAGAAGTAAGTCCAGGAGCAGAACTGATACCTGAAGAATATGCAAGTAAAAGCCATATCACCAAAGGAAAAAAGTGAGTGGGAGATTTGGGATCACATTTTAGACCTAGATGATCAAAATTTAGGTCTGTTCCAAGTAATTTTCCTACAGTTAAGCAATCTAACCTGAACTACTGAAGTGCCTTCGTAGAAACCTGGTAATTCTTTGGGCTGGTAGTCAGCCATGAATGAATGCAAGATAAGGGATGCTTTAAGAAACACTTCCTGGTCACCTTTTGGCTAGTATCCTCTTTTTTCCTTTTGCAGTTGACTGGCCCTAGGACTGCACTTTTGGGAATGGAGAACTAGCACCTCGGTGTGTGGACTTCAGTCTCAGCTGTGAAAGAGCAGGAGAGAGGACCCCCTCAGCTCAGAGGCTCCAGCCAACTCATTACACGATAGCTCTTCTGCTACTCTTTCTTGAAAGAGGGGCTTGGGTCTTACCAAGCAGCAAACCACGCTTTGCAGTGGAGACTGGAGACGCTTGCCAAATTCTTTGCTGTGGGTGTCATTTTAACTTACTGATACTGGCAGACACCTATGCCCATGTGCCCAGGACAATAAACTCAGAATACCTAAACCCAAGTCAAATACTCTTTTCAAAACCAGCTTAAATTAAACTCGCACTCTCCCAGGCATTTTATACCGCTAACAGAGAAAGAAATGCAGTCTGAATTGCTTTCTGGAGGGATATAAGGTATGCGCTGCTTCCTAATGGCGCCTCTCGCTGCATATGCTACCGTTCAGAAAATTGAACTCCAAAATTCTGTTCTCAGCTAGGCATCTAGACACAGGCTCGATGAATTGTGGCCATGTCCCATGTTGAATTCAGCTTTTATCAAATAACAAACGTATTCTACTGTTAACCTTCAGGCATTCAAGAGTCCTTAGCTAGTTAGCATCTTGTTATTAGGGGGACATTTATTAAGGTGATACACCATGATACTCAGTACAGAATTAAAGATGGGAAATTCCCACCCTTTTGTGAGAGATTGAGGAGTCACATCACCAAAACAAAATTACATTTAGGAAAGCACTGCCCTGCTTGGTTCAGCATGTTCACGCAACATCATTTGGCAGATTTACAGTTTTTATAAATCTGCTAAGCTATTGCTAAGCTGTCAGTTCAGGCTATTTCCTCTAAATCTCAAAGATCCATGAGTTTAAAACTGAAAATTATGGGGGTTTTGACTGTGTTTTCCAGCATACTTTGACAGTGGGTCCTCACCATTCTTTTTTCTGATGCACTTAGGCCCTTTTACAGTCGATGAATGATATCTGAAGATACCACACAGAACCAAAATCTTCCCAGACACAAATAGCCAATTATAAAATGCAGCTCAGGGTTGAATAAATTCCTTTCTGACCCTGTAGGTGATAAAGTGATGGCCAGAGGCATGGGATTCATTATCCGTATCATTATCACAGCTCATATGACTCCTGTGTTAATGCCAGCAATTAGTTTGCTTAGATTTTCTAGGAGAAATTTTCTGTATGAACCTAGCAAACTACATCCTGATCACTTTGTTCCAGCTTTCTAAGATAGAGGCATAAACACTGTGAATGACCATATATCTATTGATTATGAGCTTGGACAGACTTAACACCCACACAATAATAAGACATGTTCAAATGAGCATTAGGATCCAAGACAGATCAAGCATGCTGCAATTGTACCTATCAGCCTCATTAGCTAACCCTGACCATCCTTCATGCTTCACAGAAGTGCTTTCTGCATTTTAAAATATCGTTAATGGGGAAAAAACGTGTTTGGGATATCAAATTATTGCTCCTGTGTAATGTTTTTTCTAATGTATTTCTGTGAGCACTGAAACTAAATGTTCATATTTCACTTGGGTTGCCTTTCTAAACCATCATCCACTCCTATGTAGCACAATGCTGTACCATGTATGTCTTATACAAAATGAGAAGTGCAACAGAGAAATGCCTAAAGACAGTTATTTTCAGAAGCAGCAGTTTAGACTACTTAGATTATAACTTGCATTAGTTGTCTTCCCACACCAGGGGATTCTTTCCATTTATTTATGTCCCCATGAACTTCCCACTGTTACCATCCCTTCCAGTCTTCCGTATATGAAAAAGAGAAGTACTTTCCTGTAGTCCTTGTGCTTTGATAACTGAAGGATCATCAGAAGCAGAGTGTTACTCCACATAGTTCACAAACGTATCTGGTAGAGCGAATGGATAACAACCCCCTTATAACTGATCAAGAGACAGCAATCAGGTTTTTTTTTCCTGAAATTCCGATGTTTTCACATTTAGCTTTTCATTACTCTTGAAATAAGAAGCAAGCTTATCAGATCTCTTTGCAATAAGGAAATTACACACAATACATTGGTGGGAGGTGCATGTATTCAAATATTTTATTTTTTGTTTTAGAAGGTATTCATTAAGAAGACAGAATCCTGCCACATGGTGGTCGAAAACTCTGTCCTAAGATGCACAAAACTAACATGCAGAGAGACAATTTTACTTTGTTGTATATATATAAAAAATATATATATGTACGTATGTGTGTGTGTATCTATATATATATATGTATCTTCCCAGGAATATTTTTACTAGAGCAAGAATTTGAGCATGTATGTGCCTTCCAGATCTCAGGCCACTGTTGTAGTTGCCAGGCTACAGATCATTAGAGTCCTTAACTTTCACTGTACCTATTTCAGCTCCTGCAAAACAATATACTGTAATGACATGAAGGGAAACATTTTTCAAGAAAATTTCAGCTACCTTTAGCAGAATAGCTTCTGTATCTTCCTAGATATTGCCAAAGAATAGGAGAACCTAAATACAATATAAAGTGTTTTTCTGACATTACAAGACTATAAATAAGACATTGCAGCATGAAGAATGGTGCCCTTAAACCAGAAGTCGGACTATTATTTTAGGTATTATACATGAAAGTATCCCTTCGTTTGTAAGAATGAACCATTGCAATGCCTGCTTTCAGCCTGTGATCTTGCCTTCATGCTGATTTGAAACAGTATAATTTGGCAGGCCCTTTAAACTGAGATCCTAACTGGCCATGCTTTATGAGTGCTCCATTCAAGAGGCAATTCCAAAAGAAAGAGGAGAGAGGAGCCTGCCAGTGAAATAGAGTTATGGCTAAATCTGGGATACTCTGTGATATAAGTTGCTGAAAAGGGAAAACAATCTCACAGAATATCATTATGCACGGCAAATGAGCCATGAGAGATTTGGTGAAAAGAATGAGAGGTAATACACCACTATAATAACTCCAACAGCTTAAGGACAGCCTGTGAACTGAAAGTACGTAACAGCTTCAGTAAACACAAAGTTTGAATGTTGGGAAAGGTCTTACCTGCAGCTCTCTAAAACAAAAGGCATACTTCATCTTTTATTAGAAGTTTGATCTCCGACAGCAGGCTTCAACATTTAATACAGGACTGTTGCTGATGCTGAAAATCAAAAAGCATGAATTACTTCACGTACATGTAAAAGCCAAAACCCCCCAGATTTTCCTCTGTCGTTGCTGCTCAGTATCTTTCACTACCAAAAACATCAGGATGTCTTCTTCTGGAACAAGACTAATTGTTGACTAGTTATCTTTACTTATTGCCTATCTCATGTACACAGAAACGGAACTTAAAGGTTCACTTAAGTAGAAACAATAGCATGTCCCCCCTCCACTGTGCTATTTCTCCAATGGTGAAAATGAGTGCTGGCACATACTCTGAGGTCCATTTATTCTGTGGGTAAAATGCTGAGGGCAAGCACTGTTTTTTTTTACCACAGACAGGTACTGTGTATTGCCATTTTCCTCTCCTTTACCTTTCCTTCTAACGAGCAGAAGACACCCCAGCCAAACATGCTATTTTTGAACGAGTGGTGGTGCATTCCCCATAGGCAAGAGCAAACAGATTAAGAAACGCTTGACAGAGTGATGTTTCAACGAGCGCTCATCCTAGGCATCGCCCTCCTGTCGGTTGAAGGCCCCGGGGTGTGTGGCCCACGAAGGCCCCAGGGTGTGCAGCCCGCGAAGGCCCCGGGGTGTGCGGCCCATGAAGGCCCTGGGGTGTGCGGCCCGTGAAGGCCCCGGGGTGTGCGGCCCGTGAAGGCCCCGGGGTGTGCGGCCCGTGAAGGCCCCGGGGTGTGCGGCCCGTGAAGGCCCCGGGGTGTGTGGCCCGCGAAGGCCCTGGGGTGTGCGGCCTGTGAAGGCCCCGGGGTGTGTGGCCCGCGAAGGCCCTGGGGTGTGCGGCCTGTGAAGGCCCCGGGGTGTGTGGCCTGCGAAGGCCCTGGGGTGTGCGGCCCATGAAGGCCCGGGGTGTGCGGCCCGCCCGCGGGTCAGGCGTGGATGCCTGTGCCCAAGAGCCGCTCTCGCTGGCCAGGCTGGGGGTGGCCGGGCAGGGGGGCTGCAGCAGCCTGGCGCACGGGCACGGGCAGGCGCTGCAGCGAGGGGTGGGAGCGCTGCAGTGAGGGGTGGGAGCACGGCAGCGGCCGCCCCACGGGTGTCGAACACCAGGGCTGGTGTGGCGGTGCTGCAGGGGGAGGCTCGGGGGTGCAGCACTGCCCGAAAGCAAAAATAACAGAAGTCGCTGGAGTAATTTCAAATTTATTTCGGAAGCAGGAAAGGGTAAAGGAGGGCTACACACTGTCTGATAATGAGGGCACACACTGTCAATGTCACCCCTGAAAAAGTTGCATCAAAAAAATTACTTGCAAACAAGTAACTGCATGTTAGTTGCTGGACAGCGAGCTGGTGTTCCCAGTCCGCTCTCCTATTCCAAGCACTGAAAAAAAGTAAAAATAAAACATTTTCTAACGCTTTGTTATAAATGAGGAGCTTTCAGATAGCTTAGAAGGGCTTGTTTGCAGGAACTCATCTCTCATAAAAGGCTTGTTGCTGCTCTAGGGAGGAGTAAAATAGCTACTGAGGACATTCAAATCATGATCTGTCTTCTCAGCCATTAATTTTAAATATGATTCATACTCCATTATGCTCTGGAAACCAGAGAAATTATCCTTTATTGTGTCTAGCCATTTTTCATCACTATGTACTCATAATGACCAATTTTACTCTCCCCTTCCGATATGTGCTTGAAAATGTGCAGAAATTAACCCCAATGTTTACATTTGCCTTTAATTCAGCTTCATAAGGATTTCGCAGTGTAAATATATCTTTATACAATAGAACAGAATTATTAGCATCCAATGTACATAAACAACATTGGCTTTTAAATTTCTTAAATATCAGTGTTTGTAAATTAGAAACAAGTCCAGGTCAGACTTCAGGGAACAAACACTACTGAACTTTTTCCTACTTAAATACAAATTAAAAGAAAAACAAATGAACAAACAAACAAAAAAACCAAACCCACAACATTTTAATGACTGTCTAAGCCTGTGTTAGGGCATTTTAATAACCATGGAAGTGAAGTCCAAAAATGAATGGATTTATAATATTCATCCTCATTTGCAACATCAATGCATTTTTAGTTTAAGGAATAAAAATAATAAAAAAAAACCCCAAACCTAGATCACAGAAAAAGGTCCTGGCTTAAGTTTTCAAAAATCCAGTTGCAATTCCTTGTTTCAGCCATGTGACTGCACAAATCACCTACTCTCTCTGTGATTCAAAATCCCACTTGTACAATGGAAACTTTCATTATGTGTTTTCAAATAAAACAGATATGCTGTGTAAAGCCGAGGCACCACCTCCTTCACCTTTAAGAGACAGGGTGCATCCTCCTATCTTTAGAGGCGGTGGCAGCTCTGAACCCCAAATCAAGGTGAAGTTTGTGCTTGAAAGCCTGTATGAGAAGTGACATTACTCTGCTGTAACTCTTGTTAAGCTTTATTCATGGGATACACAGCAGTGGAAAACTATTTTTATTGTGCCCAGGACCAGCCTCCCTGCCTGCCCAGTCGCATGCTCACTGAGGAACCACTGAGGGCTGTGGAGCTGCCTGTACCTGGAGGTGCCACATGGCGTGTGGCAGGGCAGCACAGTGTAACTCTTGGTCACTGGAGTATTACTCAAAGAGATAATGAGATAAGATCACTGGGTTAAGTCTCACAACATACAGTTCAGTTTGATAAATATCTGATGGATTAGGATGGAGAAGTAAATAATGTTTATTGTCACTAGCTACTTATTAAAAAGAGTAGCTGAATAAAAGCAGTAAGCAGAGCATGTTATAGCATCCTCAAAGACAATGTAATTTTCATTCCTGTCTGTCCAGCATAACAGTTCATGGGTATCAGAGGTTGACTCAATTGTTGCTGGTTTTATTTATAAAAAAAAAAAAAAAAAAAAAGCCTCTTACACTTAAAATAATGGTGATGCGTGCTGGGCATAACAAAGTGTATAAATGTTTCAGTTTTTTTCCAGAGTAGAGAGAATAAGAAGCTACCTCTATCAGTTAGGCATACCAAATGATATTATGCAGCTCATACATCTTGTCATACGTGAAGCAAATCCCACACCTCCTATGAGTACAGCCTTTGGAGAGCACATTTCCAGTTTAATCACTAAGATTCAATTTCAAATTAAGTTATTGGTGGATTGTAAATAACTATGACATTTGAAGTAGGGAAGCTAGCCCTATTTTAAAAAACTTAAAAGTACTACAAGAAAGAAGGATGATGTATAGATGCATTGGGTTTTGTTGTCAAGGTGGTAGCAGCAGGGGAGGCTGCAGGGGTGGCGTCTGTGGGAAGAGTGCAGGGGCTGCCCTGTTCTGGACACAGCCATCTCCACAATGGACCCACCACAGGACACAGCTGAGCCCATTAGCCAAACTGGTGGCACCTCTGGGAAAATATAGTTAAGGAAGGGGAGAAAATACTGGATGGAGAGAAGAAGGAACAAAATCAGTGTGAGAAACAACCCTGTGAACACCAATGTGAGAGAAGGAGGAGAAGGAGGAGGTGATCCAGGTGCTGGAGCAGCCTGTGGAGATGACCACGAGGGAGCAGATATCCACACTGCACCCATGGAGGACCTTGCAGTGGAGCAGGTGGACATGCTCTGAAGGAACATGTCCATGGAGCTGGCTTAGGTTTATCCTGAAGGACTGCAGCCTGTGGGAAGGACCCACGCTGGAGCAGGGGGAAAGTGTGAGGAGGAAGGTGTGGCAGAGAGGAACTGTTATAGACTGACCATGGCCCCTATTCCCCATCCCACCTCCACTGCTCATCAGGGGGAGGTAGAGGAGAGGGGAAAGAAGAGGTGAAGTTGGGCCTGGGAAGAAGAGGTGGGATGGGGGAAGATATTTTTGTTGTCTTTATTTCTTGCTATCCAACTCCAATTTAGTTGGAAAAAAAATAAATTATTTTTCCCCAAGTTGAGTCTGTTTTGCCTGGGACTACTTGGTGAGTTATCTCCCTGTCCTCATCTTGACCCATGAGCTTTTTCATCCTCTCTTCTTCCCCTGTCCTGTTGAGGAGGGGAATTGAGAGAGTGGCTGGGTGGGTGTATCGCCTTTAGCCAAGGTCAACCCATCTCAACAGATAACTAAGTTTTAAAATTGATCCTGAATAAAGTCCTGGAAGATCTACATAAATTCTGAATATGAAGAATACACACAAATAGCATTAATCCAAAGACTGACATCTGTAGGATTAGGTAAGGGAGCTCATGAAAAAAGGCAAGAACTCTTAGAATTATCAATGTAAATGTCATTTAATTAGCTTTCTCTCTCTTCAGATTTTTGAAAATGTATTTGACAAGATCCCTCTTTGGCAATTAAGTGATTCTAAGTCATGAGGTTTGAAGTTTGGATACCAAGAGAAAGAGGTGAAAAAGAAAGACTAAATCTTTTCAAGATGATATCCTCAAGAGAGAAAGATATTGGTGGAACTGTGGAAAAGGCAGGAGTTCTGACAATATGGCATTTAGCATAATTTATAAATTGCCACTCTAAATTCAAAATTACTCAATAAAGCAAGCTGTTTCATGACTCGGTTTTAATTTTGTCATTACTTCAAAACTGATGGATTCTATGGTTTAACCCTTAAATCATTTATTATGAAAAAGATAAAACAAATTACTGAAATAGTAATTTTGAAGCAAAACTATATTACAATTTCATTCCAATCATGTCTCGATACCATTAAGATTTTTCTACTTGATTTTCCTTCCTCGTATGTATTTGTTCCACCACAGATCTACTAAAATTCAATAAGCATGCTATACTCTTTTATTCAAGCTTAGATAAGCTTAGGTAATTCCAGTTCTTATAACAATAACTTTAAGAACAGAAGGCTACTGTATGAGTTTGTTGTGAGTTTGTTAGAAGTTAAAAAGCAAGGACCAAGGAATTATCTTGGGATAGTCTACAAATACAGAAATCAACGTACTAATAGCTACAACTGCATTAACAGCTATATGAAGGAAGCAACCAGAAATAAGGAAGAAGCATAGCAAAAACTGAGACAGGCAGCTAGCATAACTCCAGCAAAGGTAAAGAAAAGGGGAACAGGAAAATAGTAAAGGGAAAAGGAAAAGGGAAGAGAGGTGAGTGTTTCTGGAACAGACAATTCAATGGAAAAGCCCGAGTTTCATTCCTACTACGTTCAGCTTCCTCTGCATTTTTGTAAGTTACACTTGATTATATCAGAAGATAACTGATCCATATTGCATTTTCCTAGTGGAAATAAAAAGGCATCAAATATTGAC